CTCAATGCAAAGGACCACGTCTGGAACGCCTCCAAGCCAAACGCCGAACCTAGGCAAAGTACTGGAGAAAATTATTCTGAAGAGAATCAATACAGTCGTTGTGGAAAAAAATTTAATTCCACCAGAACAATTTGGTTTCAGAGCAAACCATTCTACGTACCATCAACTGGCCTGTCTTACCGATGTTATTAAAGTCGCGAAAGATAAAAACAAAACACCGCGGTCCTCCTTCTTAACAGCGAAAAAACGTTTGACTCGGTCTGGCCTTGCGCGATCGTCTACAAACTTCTCGAGCTGGATCTTCCAATTTATCTCGTCAAAACCATTTTCTCCCATCTAGAAGACAGATATATTCAGGTTAAAGTAAACACTGATTTTTCTAGCCCTCATAAGATTGCTGCAGGAGTCCCCCAGGGCTCTATCCTCTCTCCTACACTTTTTAATATTTATATAGCATCTGTATTCAAAACGATCCCGCCAAATGTCAACATCGCAGCATTTGCTGATGACTTAGCGTTGTTCTCAACTAGTCCATCTCTCAACAAAGCGGTGGCTCGCCTGGAAAACGCAGCCACTCTAGTCATTAAAGAACTCAACAAGTGGAAGATAAATGTTGATGAATCCAAAACGGAAGTTATCTTATTTACGGCAAACAATACCACCAGGACACAAATTAAAATTAAGGGGAAGCTCGTCACTCTTTCAAACAATGTTAAGGTTGTTGTCGCGAGAGAGTCAGGCTTAAAATTTACTACGCTCCGGGTTGATCTTCCGCTAAGCGGAGAATACGAGTTAGAATATAAACTTTTGCGGGTGTACAGTTCCACTCGACTCACGCACACAAGAATCAACCATGCATGGATACATGTACACACAGCTAACGCTAAATGGTGTCGAGCATGGCAACCGCGCGCAGCGTGTCTCTGTTTTCATGTCTCTCTCTTTCTCACTCAATATATTTATTTTATTTATGAATCGTCCCTTTGATTCGTCATTGACTATTCCAAATAGATTCGCGCCACTCGAGCAAAAAGCGTTGTTGTCGCGTCGCGCGCAACAAACCCATGCGCTCCGCCCACTGGGAGAAATAATGCTACTTTGAAAATTTATTACTCTACTACGAAACTGACGATCACTTTCTTTTTTCTTCAGTATATTGGTGGTCACTTTTTCTACGTTCTGTGTTAATTTCATCAAAAAATGTCGAGTAGTTTTTTTTTTTTAATAAAAACGGTGAAATGCATTTGAACCCATGCTAATTCAAAAAATCATATCTCAGCTCAGAAACTGACGATTGGTTTTTTGTTGTGCTCATTTTGGAGGGAATTTTAAGAGCTATCTATAGCGAAAATTTAAAAAGAATCTGTCGAAAAACGGGTTTGCACGACAACAACCTTAAGTACTTAGGGATCTGGATTGACAGAAAACTCGTCTGGAGCCACGATATCAATATATTAAATAATAATGCAAAAGCTATATTGGCCAGACTATACTGGCTCTTCAAATCCAGCTCCCTAAGTACCCAACTTAAACTAACTTTATATAAGGCTCTTGTAAGACCTGTGATATCGTACGGTTGCCCGATTTGACATACTGTAGCCCAAACTCACATAAATAAGCTACAAATTAATCAAAGTAAATTCCTTAGGATAATAGGAAATTTCCCTCCTAGAACAAAAATTGAACAGATTCACTCCAATCTGAATATCGATTACATTTCCACTTATATCAGTAAGCTCACCGACAAATTTGAATTCAGTCGTAAAAACCATCCAAACAAAAATCTAAATGACATGAATATTACCCGGCGTTCTAGATGGTCCCATTAGTGTCCTTCTACTGCCCCCCTTACCCTGGCTCCTAGCTCTCCTTCCACCCCTCCCCAAAATTCAATTTCAAACATAACTTGTAGGGTTTTTTACTATTTACAAATTTTTCCCTACCCCTTCCCTGACAATATTCACTGGTAAATATACCTAAACCACTCTGTCAATTCATAATTATACTATTCATTATGTATTCATTAGGTAAAAAACCATTGGCTGGTGGCCTACTCATGTAAATATTTACCATACTATGTACAACATGTATATAACAAAATGATGACAATAAATGTCTTATAAAGTAAAGTAAAGTATTAGACTAGCAGTTAGGGCGCAGGACTAGAGATTTTGGCGTCGGTTCGATCCCCGGTTAGGGTAATATTTTAGGTTAACAAATTAGCGATTCGCGTTGGAAAATAAGTTAGGAGTGAGTAATTAGACAGTACTCAATTGCAGAAATGCTTCAATGAACATTATTTTTTATTTTTTTATCAATTTAAATAAATAAATATGAGGCATGGCTAAGGCCTGGCGACCAAGCTCGGCTCAAGTCTGGTGGCCAAGGAATGCCCGCACGTTATCATCCCAGGGCTCAACCAGGCTTGGGCCAGCCTTGGATGCCAAGCTCGAGCCTTGTCTATTGGCCGCCCATCACCCAAGCTTGGGCCAATTGTTAATTCCTACCTGGGTATCAAGGAACAGATCAGAAGCAGTAGCGGGCAAGTCAGTATCAACCGTCATTAATTAATATAAAAGAAATTATTCTAATAATAAGAACCTGCAATATACTAAAACTTAGATCGCATTACAGGTAGTAATTGGACAGCCCCTAAAATACATGATAACTGGAACTATTTCCAATTTCAGCAATACTAAATAATATATTACTTGGATAAATTCATTAATTTGCGTTAATCTGCCCTCAACAATTCCCTATACCTCCTATTGGTAGAAGACATATGATTGTTACTTCACATGTTATTTATTTTTTTTTAATCTTAGTATGCCATCAATTTAATTGATGGTTAGCTTTCGAATGGACATGAAAATGAAAATTTCTTCATATTTTCTTCGAACGCGAACATCTCTTTAGTTCATCTAAATAGGGTATGCCCTATACAATGTATACCATGTAACGAATATTTTGAAAGGAAGTAAAATCGAATCATTTGAGTCGTTTTTGAGATATTTGAGAAAATAATTTCAGATAAAAACTTGAATATCTCCTGAACAAATCATCCAATCTAGCCCATCTTCAATATCAAAGATTACAGCCATAAGAGAAATCTTTCAGCCAATTTCAAATTGATAAATTGATTTTTTTTATCAGAGAGGGCGTGCAACGCATTTCTTCAGAAAATATGAAAATTGAAATCTCGAAAAGTTTATGAAAGCATATAAATATATTTTCACTCGTCCATATAGAGTACATTGAGACGAACATTTCAATAGAATGAAATGGGCAAACGGTTGAATAGTTTCTGAAATATTTACAAAAAACTTTTTCGAAACAATCGCCGATATTTCAAAAACTATTCAACCGAGCGGGCTGAAATCTAGCACCTATGAAGTCCTTACTATAACCTGTGAACTGACGGAATTTCCAATTTTTGGGAATTAATTCAGCCCTCTATTCTTCGTCCTTTGTAAAAATTGAGCCTCAGCTCACCATCTACACACACATGGCCTTCAGACTTGGTATTTTTACGTTTCGGACCATTCTACGTCATTTCCAGACACAATTAGAGACTCGAAAAATCGAACGATTGCAATGCTTCCATTCGAAAGAAAAAATTAATTGAATCTCGGGAATCGAGCTGAGTATTACTGGAATTGGATTGAAGTATGGAGAACTTCGATGGGGGGTACTTTCGTGAGCAATCGGTAGGCATGAAAATGGTAATGTTTATGCTTAATTAATGGCAAAGTATGCACTCTTCTACGTGATTGCTGCATTAATTGATTGCAAATTATACATTTGAAAGGGTCTTGCTAATAATTCGAAATAATTCTGCCTGGAAATGATTTAGAATCATCTGAAATGTCAAAGTGCGGAGGATCCGATGAATGTCAGAACGAGATGGTCAACTTTTAGGAAAGCCGGAAAATACCCTTTATAGTACATCGATTCCGAAAAATCTGAAATTTCGTGAATCCATAGGTCATCGTACGGAATTGATCTGTACCAAATTTCAGCCCTATCGATGAGGTAATATTCAAGATATCGGTGATCGTTTCGGAACCATTTTTTTTTTACAAATATCTCAGAAACTATCGAACCAATTCAATTTTTTGAATGGTTCTCTCAATGTGCTCTATAATATCTATAGAGTCTATATAGATCAGTCAGAATATTTATTTACTCCTACAAAGTTTTCCAGAAATTTTGATATTTTTCGGAAAAATTTGTTGTACGCCTGTTCTGATTGGCAAAAATCCGCCTATTAACTTAAAATTTGATAAAAAGTGTCCGCTTATGATTACGATGTTTGTATTGAAGATGGGTTGGATCGGATGATCGGTTTAGGAACCATTCAACTTTGCACCTGAAACGATTTTCTTGAATATCTCAACAATAAGTCAACTGATACGCTGTTGTCACGTTTTCTCCTCCCCACTCTATCGACACCACCATGGGAAAATACACGATACCGATTAGTCAACATTCAACAATACTAATTTTCAAAATTATTGACAAAGTGTTTTTTTTTACATTTTTTCCATCTTCAGGGGACCTCAATCTAAAATTTGAAGGTGAAAATCTTGTTGATAATTCATGAAATGCCCGATGTACACATATGAGTTTTCATATTTATTTGATAAATGGATCACGCTCCCTGTTGATATCGAGTAGAATGGAATTGCTTGCTTTTAGTTCGTCTTATAGTGGACTAATTTCATCTATGACTAATCGAAATTGTTGACCGAAATAGAAAATGACCGACAAAAAACAAAGGTATTCCCTGTCGAATAAGATTGCCTCGCTGATGTAACACTCATTTTCGTCAAACCTGAACCACTTTTGTTTGTTATTTTTTCATTTACGGGTGTATTAAATAAAATGTGAAATTTACAAAGAAAGAGGGGCTTCTTTGTACTTGATCACTTTTGACTTAAATAGTGTAATCAGAGCAATCCTGAGCATCAATAAACAATGATTACTTCTTCTATTTTCAGCTTACCCTGTTATTCCGTACAACACACATTGTATGCTAAAGATTTAATCGTCAGTTATCAACAAGATTAACTTACAACAACAAAACCAAGCGTACACGTAAGTGCAACAGTGGAAGGTAATTTTTTTTTGTCAAAAACCAGTTTCCACTCTGCAACGGATCGGAAAATTTGTAATTGCTAAAGCTGTTAGAAAAACTACCTAATAGTCCAGATTGCGCCATCTAAAACTCGATCGAAATCTCAATTAGGAGACATTTGAGGAAGTTTGTTGCAAGAACGAATTTCTTTAACTAGTTGAATGCTGGGTACCCACCCATACTCCACTTTTTAGCTGCCAATTCACGTTATGGCGACATAAAAAAATGTCCTCTCCTAAACAGCAAGACCTTTCTCCGCGAAGACATTCAACGAGGAGAAATATGGAACAGTCGGGGTATGTTTAGAAATTCGCAACAGGCTGCACGGATAATTACGCACTTATGGAATAGCTATAAAAACCAACGGAATCCGGTCACTGACATTATTCAAGCATCGTAAAACTTTTTATTCCCGAATGTTGCCATACATAAATGCAAAATGCAAATACAATGTAGGAAAGTTGCATTTTTACTCGTAAATTATTATTTTTTGACGAGATTCACCATTAAATTTTTTTTCGCTGTTTTATGACTAATAATTCACTGCCATCATAATGAGTTTCTATACTGCCAAGAGAAGCTGGAATGAAAACCAATAGAGAAAGGTTTAGAAGATATGTATTAAGGAATCGTGATGGGTATGAGATCGTCAAAAGAATGAAGGAGTCGTAAATGCAATATGAAAAATGGGTAAATTTAAGCCACTTAGAGTTTCACACTTATATGTTGTGAAAACATAACTGCTCCTCGACAGTTAAACGTCTTTCCATCGCATTTCATAATTTCTAACATGTGCAAATATCGCCATAAGTGTGAAATTCGTCGCGCTCACGGTTTCTTGAAAATGCACTAATGTACTCAATTGTGCGCTTCCATCAACAGACAGAGTAGGCTTACGTCAGCAGTATCTGGAATCCATCGGTAGAAAAGTTCTTATTTATATATGGGTAAGTCACATTCAGTGAGGTGAATGGGTTTAGCAGAGCTATAGTTACATGCTTAAATATATTATGCCTGAATATTATAATATATTATAATATTTATTACAAATTGTTTGATGCAGTTGAGTGTATAAACCTCAAATTAATGAAGATAGTCATAACGGGAAGCTATAATTTTGTTTTCCCTTTGCTTGCATTGTATTGGCCGAATCAGTGATCACCAATTTTGGGTGTCATAATAACAAATTTCAGTCTCATCGGTTCAAAAATAATTTTTTGACGATTTCACTATACATAGGATGCCCATAACTGATGGTTTTTTGCCGACATATAGAAGATAAGTTTTTATATCTACCCAATTCGAATTGAAAATTGACGAATCCCTGAAGAGATAGACTAGACAAAAAATAAACTCATGTTAATTTATCTATGGCCTATCATTTTGGGTGGGTTTAACACGTTTTGAATAGGTGGATTATTTTTTCCTTGTCTATTTCTTCTACCTAATAAAATCAGCAGCCCAATAATTAAATACATTATTCCTCAAACAACAATGTAAAATTAGTGGTAAGGTAGAAGGCAAGAATGTAATGGAAAGAATGCAGAACTTCACAAAAAAGCACAGGAAGCGGTATGATAAATGAAACCTTCGCCGGTCGGTGACGATCCTGGGTTGCACACTGTATGCTAGTTAATGCTAATTATGGAGAGAGGGTGGATCTTGGATGAAGCTCACGAGTTTGAGCTCACGGAAACTTAAACCAGGCAGAACAAGGGAAATATAGTCTTAAAAATTGTTCTAATTGGTATTTATTTCAACTACCTAAACAGAGATGAGGAATGTAAATTATTTATAGGGACTGGCTCATCGACCCACAAGACCACAGGCTCTTGCATTTTTCATGGCGAAAACTTAATTTCGAATGACGCCTAATTGTCCTCAACTATAACCGGTGGATTTTGCATACAAGTATTATCAATCAGCGATAATCCGAGAAATGTTCACTTATAATACCACACGAACTTTAAAATTCTCAGGCATTTCTCAATAGCATTGTTACAAACAAATGAAGGAGTCATGTTTTTCCCGATAAACTTGATGACTTGATTTGTTTGCAGGAACCTTGACGAAAATGCCCGATAATTTTGCAGTTTGTGTGTGATTAGAGGGATTATTCCCCACAATCAAATCTCGATGGATAGGAGCATGAAATTTGACATCGCGTGGTGGATATTACAGCCATCATTTTCGGAAAGACCACGGCTGCTGATAAGCAATAAATGAACTGTTTTTTCATAGAGTTTCAATATGAAACAATTGAAACAAACAGAAGGCTGGGAGTATCAGAAAGCGAGGATGTGGCAATGAGCAAGTCTTTGACTGAATTTTTAAAATCTTTTATCTCCATCACTGACTTGATAGTATGCTTCCGGACAGCTAGAGAAAGTGCTTATATCTTTGTATGATTTCTCTTATTTCATGATGATTCTCGAAAATTTCCTGTGATCAGGTATGGGAATTGGAATTGATTGAGATAAAGGTTATGGAAACGAATTTTTTTTTGAGAGAAGAAAAAATTCTTGTTTTTATAATAGTAAAGAAAAAACCTTTAATAGAAATGCTGTTAAAAAAATCTGTAAAATTTTTAATTCGTTAGGTTTTCGCTCCCGAAACGGAAGCATTGCAATCGTGCAGAAATAAGTTTTTGTTTTTTTGTGTTATATTACTCCATTATGGTCCAAAAAGTTAAAAAATGTTATTTTTAGATCCTGTCCGTACGTATGCATGCATGTGCGTATGTATATAACAAACGGTTTTTTTCATTTTTTTTAAACTTTTTTGAAATGTGCGCGACTTGATGCATACCATCAAATAACTTTTTTTTTTCAAATGTAGTCACTGTCGAGCTCTATCCATCGACATTAATTCGAATTCGTTTCGATTGGTATAATTTTTGTTTTTCAATTTTTCAATTTTTTTTTTTTTAATTTCGGATTTTATCAATCATTGAAAAAATATTGGTTTGAATCAAATCCTGGATGGCTTGAAAAATTCATTCAAGTGTCTTTTGAACCGAGTTCGAAGATGAAAGTGATAGCGACAATAGTTGTTAATTTTTTGCTTCCGAATGGAAGCTTTTTGCTTCGAATGGAAGCTTTGTAATCGACCAAATTTAAAATTCCCATTTTTTGTTATATTTCCACTTAATATGACCCAATGATTTCGAAAATGCAGTCGACCGTGTCCGAATGTATGTATGTATGTGTGTGTGTATGTGCTATTTTTATTTCATTGATTTTCTTTGATTGCTTACCTGTATCTCTCATCAGTTGCATCTTTTTCTATCCGAATGTAGGTCTCATTGGGTTCTATCTATCGCCGTCACTAGAAATTGATTTCACCCATCCGTTTTTATAATTTTTACATTTTTCGAAAATTCGTTTTTTTTTACGATAGCTCAAAAAAAAATCATCTGAATTAATTGAATCACGGCTTAAAAAATGTGTCCTGATGTGCTCTTAACCGAGTTCGAAGATGAAGGTGACAGCAATAAGAATTTTTTTAATCTCTGTGAAGATACATTTTTTTTTTAATATTTCGATGATTTCTTCGCCTATCAGTCAGGTGATACATACAATGGTGCTTGAAAAAGTTGATTTAAGTTTATCATTTCAGAGCGATAAAAAATTGAACATTTAAAAAAAAACAAAAGCAAAAGAACATTTCGAATGAGGGTTTGAAAAGTATACTTCTCACTTAGTCATCCTTATAGGAGAAAAATCTGATGATTACCTTCTTGTCTCTTGTTGAAATAGATTCCAGAGACATGAATTCGCTGCTCTAAGTTAGTTATTTTGGATTAATTCTGAATTTATTATAGCCGAGTGTATCGGTAAGAAATTCATTTCTTGTATTGAAGAGCACATGGATTTAAAGATAAGTGGGGTTATTAAATTAATAATTAGATGCAGCATTGATACAACAAACTGTCAAGATTAGCAGAAAAAGAAAACTAACATCATAAAAAAGAAATACTAATTTCAGAGGAGAGGTGTGAAGGAACGAAAAGAATGGATACCGATGGAATGCAAATGGTAAATTAGGAGTTTTAGCTATTCGTCACACTACTCCCTTCACTGAAAAACAGATTGCCGTCTCGACAATCAAATAAACTTGTATTATGACCAACTGAAGTATCAGTTTTAAGGAAAAATTGATACCCAGGTGGGGATGAACCATTGGTCCCAAGCTCGGACCAAGACTAACCTAGCTTGGCTCAAGCTTGGAATTCAAGATTGTACCAACCTTGGTTATTCCTTGCTATATAACGCTAGTTCAAGCTTGGACGTCGAGCTCGATCCAAGGTTGAGCCAACATGCTAAAATGAAGTTAGTCCAGGCCTGGGCCGAACTTGGACCAACCTTGATTCAAACTTGAGCGTAAAATCCAAGCCGAGCCTGGGATCCAATCCTTAACCAATCCTTCAACTTATCTAGCAATTATTGATTAAAATAGAGGCAAAAATGAAATAATTAGTTTTTTATCGTGGATGCAAGTCAATTTTGTCTCTATTTATCCTTCCCTGATAAATTGGTCTTTGAAAAAACCTAATTGTTTGACTTAAAAATTGACCGCCGCAACCGAGATTCGAACGCATGACCCTAACATTATGAAACCTATGCCTTACCGCTGAGCTAACACTTTAATTTATAAGACTTTTATTGTCATCATTTTGTTACATACAGGTTGTACATAGTATGGTAAATATTTGCATGACTAGGCCACCAGCCAATGGCTTTTTACCTATTGAATACATAATGAATAGTATAATTATTAATTGCGGGAATGGTTGAGGTATGTTTACCAGTGAATATTGTCAGGGGATGGGTAGGGAAAATTTGTAAATAGTGAAAAACCCTACAAGCTATGTTTGAAAATGGATTTGGTGAGGGGGGGGGGGGAGAAGGAGGTGGAAGGAGAGCTGCGAGCCAGGGCAAGGGGGGGCAGTAGAAGGACACTAATGGGACCATCTAGAA